ATTTGTTCTATATTATAGTAACTATACATAGATGATATTCATTTGGTTGTATGAATATAAAAATTCAGAATATAGATGAAACAGCAATGCATTCATTTTGAATGTATGAATACAGCAGGAGGCAGAAAGCAGATGTAGAATAAACAGATTTTGACACTGTAGCACTTGTAGATGAAGCATATTGAATACAAAGTTGGTGTACAGAAGTCTGTCTAAATAATAAAGTCATTAAAGTGTTTACAGAAGAAAACACTACAAAGCCCATCATAGTGGAGGAAGGAAGTACTGCTCAGGATAGTGCTAAATGCTTTTGCTGATACATGACTATTTTTTGAAGTCACTGAAGAGTTTTTGTACCTAAAAGCAATATTTGATTTTATTTTAAGACAGACAAGGCACAAACAAATGCAATTATAGTATTTTTAAAAAGTTATAATATAGGTGACTGTCTGTAGGTATAGGCATGTAAGAGCAGATGCCAGTGGAGTCCAGAAGAGAGTGTTGTATCCCTTGGAGGTTGAGATACAGGAAGTTGTGGGCTGTCTAGCATGGGTGCTGGGAACCACACCCAGGTTCTCTGCAAGAGCAGAGAACTATATTAGAGTATTTGTAATAAAGGTGTGTGTGTGTTGAGGGAGAGATGTCCGTTAATTTATGTCATCCCACTGCAATGTAAAACTGATATAAAGTATGCCAACCTGATTATCCTTTATTAGTTGGTTAAGTATTTGAACTGGTTAAACCCACTAGTTGGCATGATAGCATGGTATAGATTATATACATCATCTGTAAAAGGAAAGATGTGGACAACTCAAAGGTTCTTTCAGGCAGTCGGTGACTCATTGCCACAGTTAAGATTGGCTTTATTATGGCCTGAAAGATCAATTTCTATCTCAATGGCCTTTTTTCTCTAAGGAATATGAAAGAGGAACAAGAGAATCAACATTACTTGAAGCTGTATCACAAAACGGCCAAGTTTTAAAACTTTTTCATCACTGTCAAACTGAGTCAAATTCCCAGTCAATGAGGCAACAGCAGTGTGCTGGTAGCTTCACTTAGTGTTACTGAAGATGCCATAAACATTTTGAATAAGCTGTTTTAATACGCACAGGTATGGTTTCATTTTCACTAATTTGTGTGGTGGGGGTAGTAACAAGCATCATAGCATGCATGTGAAAGTCAGAAGACAACTTTGGGAAATCAATTCCCTCCATCCACCTTTATGTGTGCTCCTAAGTTTCAACTCAAGTTACCAGGCTTTTACTCACTGGCCTTCTACCTTATCTTCTGCAATGTGGCCTCTTCCTGAATCTGCAGCTCACCCATTCAGCAAGGCTATCTGGCCAGCAAGATCAAGGGATCTGCCTTTCTCTACCTCCCTGGCACATGCTGCCACACCTGGATGTTTATAAGCACGAAAGGGATCCAAACTCAGATATCCATGCTTGCAGAGTAAACACTTTGTTAACTGAACTATCTCCCCAGACTCTTGTTTGTTCTTTTTGAGAAAGGTCTTGCTACATACCCCAGGATGGTCTCTAGCTCCCTATGTAGCCCAGGCTATCCTCAAGCTTATAATTGATCCTTCTGCTTCAGCCTCCTCTGTAATGCGATTATAGGTGTGTCCTACCATACAGACCTTACCCCTTGTTTTTAAGTTGTCATTTTTTTTTAATTTGGATCTGAGGGGGAACTTTCCTTTCATCTTTGTAAGCACATGGCAGGGCCATATAGAACCAAGGGAACCACTTGAAGGTCACCCAGAGCACTTGGCCCATAAAAGCTTACCTTGCTTCCTGCCACAAGTGGACCATGAACGTGAAGTTTCCATAACTTTCTAACTGTATCAGCACAGGAAAAAGAAGTTTTGTATGTGGTGACAAGGAACAAAGGAAACAAAAGAGCTACTGTTTGAAGCGAACATCGGAAGTGCAAAAAAGAGAAACAAGCACTTTACTACCTCCTCAAACCAGCAGAAATAGCAAGCTTTGAGCACAGGCTTGCTGAAGGAGCAAGCCTAGCCGGTTCCCAAGGTTTTACACTTGAAACAGAAGGCAAAGGGCATTTTTACTGCTGCTGTCTTTCCCTATGGCAAACATTGTATTTTCATAATTACTGTATAATGAAAGGCAAGGTGACCACCAGAGCACCTAGTTAAGGAAAAACAATCAAGACCTAGGACATGGCTTCTGAAGTAACCATTCATAATGGGGCCATTCAATGTGATGGGGAAATGGTTGCAAGTTAGGAGGCTTCCCATACCTAAATAAAATAAGCCACTCCTCTTATCTGACCCAGAACCCATGACAATAGTGATGAAATATTTGCTGTGTGACCTTGAGAGCAGGCTGGAAAAAAGTGGCAGAAAGAATATATTTGGGAAAGAGGTGGCAGGTATAGATGAGAATCCAACCATTCCTCCGGATGAGTTTTTCAAACATAAAACCAAAAATCTCCTGAGCCTGCCAAATTGTACTCTCTTCAAAGGACTGTGAGAATTCAATGAGTAAATTCATTTGAATAAAGGCAAAATTTTATAAGTAACAATAATAATGACGCTACTTACAATCATGCTAAATACAAACAGTGAGGTATGGCTGTTCTAATGTACCAAGAGCAATGTTTCAAATCAGTAGTTATGGAACTACATTAGGAAAGACCTGAGGGCTAAAATAAAGAAGCTAAAATTAATCCAGTAGAAAATGGAAGTAAATTGGAGACCTTTAATGATGGTTGTCATTTAAAATATGGAAAAGAACATTCAGACCAAAGAAAGGCACTACAGTGTGGTACTCAGGCTTCCTAGGATAAAAATGCAATGGTGTACCCAAGCAATAAGCAGGCTGAGAAATAAGATAAAGATCGATGGCAATGGAAAGGAATCAAAGGAAGCACTTTATTCATTGGTTTTCTTTCTTTTTCTTTCTTTTTCAAAATTATAAATGCTCAAAGAAGGAAATTAAGAAAAAAAGCAAGGAGCAAATAAAAAGTCACTTGTTATCACTGGGCATCTCTTGGTCAATTTCTTCCTAATCTAACAAAAGAGGTTTCCAGGAGCTTGCTGGCTAGCACAGAGGCATTCGATCAATATGCAAGATGGACTGAGTTCAAATGCTGATGCTGAGAAGAGTGTTGCTTTTACAGAGATGGCAAGGAAGAGAGAGAGAGAGAGAGAGAGAGAGAGAGAGAGAGAGAGATCTGAAGAAGGGGCAACTAGCAAAAGCTGAGGTGGAACAGAATGACCTCCTAGCCAGAGAAAGCAGAAATTTACTTCAACAGCCTCCTATCCTGAAAACCAAATCCAAGTAGAGGCTACAGTAAGAAGGTAATAGCTGTCCAATGTGTCAGTACATGGAGGTGACAGGGAGCCCTGAGCACAGCTCTCTGCAACAGGAATCATCATACAATAGAGACAGCTGTCAATGCTTTTATAATCTGATCTTTACTTTTAACGGAAGATGCAATACAGGTACACATAAGTGAACACGTATGCATGTGCTTCAAAACTGGAACTTTAAAAGAAAGTAGAATTTCACTAAAAGATAAACAAGGATTAGTGAGAAATTTATAGCACCACATGTTGCTTTTTAAGTAAATTAAAAAACAGATCTATATTTCGTATGACTGTTAGAATTCACTATATGAAAGTAATTAGCATTGATATTCTAGAATAGATATTATTACATATAACAATATGTACAAAGGTTTCATAATGACAATATGTTCATGTTTTGGAATGTTGAAAATGCATTTATTTCCCTTATCTATTTTACAACTAATCTGCCACCATTTTGGCAAAATAATTCCAACAATATATCCCACTCTATATTAAGTAGGCTTATTTTGTGCACAGTCTTCATTTTGCCAAGTAACTCTTAAATAGTCAAACTGCTTTCCCATCCAAATAGTCACAGGGTTCTCCCTACAAAGCTGCCTACAAGTTTTCTCCTAGTGTATGGTAAGACTTCAATTTTATAATTCTTTGCCATTGTGAATTACATTAGAATGACTGAGAAATCTCACATGAGAAAAACAGCTTGTAGCATTTAAAAATCCATAAGAATATGGTAAATAAAGCAGTCCTGCAAATATCTTATTCCATTAATTCTGGTGGCATTACAACTAGAAAGAGTTGTTGAAAAAAAGCCATCTGTTAATATGAATCAAAAGCCACAACAATACTTATATCCTTGAATCTGATCATCTTACTCCTGGAGAACTTATCCAAAGGAATCAACTTCAAAGAAAAGAAAATGGATTGGGGAGGATTGGAAGCATGAAGACTTGATTGAACTCAGAACTCTATGCCCTGCAGAAGGGGAGACATCATAGTATAGGTCTGTAATCGCACTGCTCCTACAGCAAAAGGACTGGCAGAGACAGGAGAATCCCTGAAAGTTTGGGGACCAGTAAGCCAGGCACATACAGTAGCAAAAAGCAAGAGACCCTTTCTGAAACAAGATGGACGGTTAGGACTGATGCTCAAGGATGTCCTCTGTGGGCACATGCTCGCATTCACACTGTGAACACAAACACACACACACACACACACACACACACGCACACACACAGAGAGAGAGACAGAGACAGAGACAGGAGCAGACACACACACACACACACACATACACACAGAGAGAGAGAGAGAGAGAGAGAGAGAGATTGGGATTTTTAAAAGGATCTTCATTATAATACTACCTATCAGTGCTTCCTACTTTACTAAAAATATAAACAGCCTACATGTCTGCCATAGTAGAGGGCTCAGGAAGTGAGAGGGAGGAGCAGAAAAGAAAGGACAGAGGAGACACTAAAAGGTGGAATGAGCAAGAGTGGCAATGTGTTGAGCACACAATAAACACTAGAGGATTGCAAACCTTAGGTCTTACTATAAGACTGTAAGGAGGTCTGTGTTTGTGGTGGTGGTGGGGAGGCACAAGGTATTAACTGATGGTAGAATACTTGCCCACCTACACATACAGAAGGAAAAGAGGTGAGTAACTTACAAATTGGAAGCAGCTCCTGACGCTTGGCTCTATGTTACTGCCCCCAAAGGAAGCAACTTCACCCAACTGTCTTGGGATTTGAATAGAGTCGTGCAGAAGAAGACCCAGCCTACGCTGGTCACAAAAGCCAGTTGAACTTGCAACTTGCTTGAAAAGGTCTATAAAAGCAAGAAGAGAAACATGAAAATCCAAACATTGGAACAAGTGGATGTAAGCAGAACCCAATGTCCAATTCAATGCCAGTACTAATTCTCAGGAATGGTCAATATCCCCACAGATGGGACTCACTGTTTTGCTTTTTATCTTTATTTTATTTTATTTTTGGGGGGGATGGTAGGCTAATGTAATACAGGCTGGTCTTAAACTTGCTATATAGTTGAAGATAACCTTGAACTTCAAATTCTCCTAACACTACCTCTGAGTGCTAAGATTATAGGTGTGTGGTTTTACACGATGCAAAGAACTGATCCCATGACTTTCCCTGTGTTAGCCTGACAGGGATTATGGCTAATTTGGGTGATCAGAACATACTTTTATAAATTAGGTTAATCATCACTACTTATATACGTAATATGAAAATTAAACTACAGTCCTACAAAGAAGGTGAGATTATATGTTTTATTTTTATTTCATTTATTTATATGTGGAGTCCTGGTCGCATATATTATGGCACAAGGGTGCAAGTCAAAGGAAAACTTGCAGGAGTTGGTTGTCTCTTTCCACCTTGTGGATCCTGGAGATAAAACTCATCATTACGTGTAATGGCAAGTGCCTTTATCTGCTGAGCCATCTTGCTGACTATACATGTACTTTTAAAAGTTACATTTTATTGATTTATTATGTATGCGTGCATTTAGAGTATGTAGAGGTCAGGGGGTAGCTTAAAGGAATTGCTTATCTCCCTCTACCATATAGATCCTGAGGATGGAACTTGGGTTATTGGCCTTGGCAGCAAGTGTCTTTACTCAATGAGCCATTTCATCAACCCCCTAAATGTATTCTTAACAACTGAATTATTCAAAGGAAAACATAATCCTTTGGTAACTATTATGCATATATGATATGAATACTACCACGGAAATTTTAGAATCAAGAGCCATGTAATCATCCAAATGCATGTATCAGATATTAAAAGATGTAACAAAATGAGGACTTTTTTACAGTGCCCATTAGGCTTCATTGAGATTGGCATGTTTGCTCACATAGGATGCTGTGCTTATGTATAATTAGCTCATACCATTCTATGCTATCATTGATCTTCTAAGTCTACCTACTGTTTCCGCATTTTTTTTTGAAGAAAGGCTTTCACTAGGTAGTCAAGTTTGACCTTGAACTTATAAAAATTGAGTGGAGACAGGAAGATAGGGAGAAATTACTCCCATGGCTTTATAAAAGACAATAAACCTAACTTAGAATAAGTAACTATAATATTCAAAAAACAAAGAACTCAGAAATATTGTTTTATCCAAAATAATATTAGAAGGTTAAAAAAAACACTGTTCAGGTTTAGGTGGGGGCTGTTTCATTTTGTTTTGTTTAGTTCTTAGAAAACAAAAGTTCACGTAGAAGCTATATAAAAGTGAGCACTATAGTGGTTTGTGCATATTATGGTTTACTCTACAAAAATGAGAACTAGGACACAGCAGGGCTTTGGAGAAACGCCATGTCTTTCGTCTTTTGCCTATCTTCACACCCAGCATACCTCTTCACCTATGTATGACTAGTTTCTTAGGAGATAGCCAGGAGAGGCTAGTTTTTTTCAAGTCCTTCTGAAAAGGCTTCTTACAAGCATTTCCAGGGAGAAACATATACAGTCCTTTAGAGTGAGAATGGATGCTGACTTGGTCACCCAAACCATCAGTTCTTTAACATTTGCCTTTATTTCGACTTCCAGTTTTTTAGTAAAAGATCCCAATAGCTAATCAAAAGAAAATTGTTGAGGGTGCTACTTACTTTTTAAGAAATAGCAAGCTAGCCATCCCTCAACAGTAAAATGTTAATCACATCACAGAATCGGATGTGTCAGTACAACTTGCAGTAAGATGATTATAAAGTAAACAATGTGCTTTGAACACAAATGCCAGATAGTATTATTTAAGTGGGAATTCAAAGAGACACAGGAAAAGCGGGGATTAAACCTTCACATTTCTTTTCCTGACTCACACAAAGGGGTTAGGAAATCAGATTTTATCCCCTTGGAACATGTGTTTTACTAAGACACAGTCAATGTAACATAAACTAATACTTGGACTGGCAAAGCTAATCCTCATTCTCTATTTAAATACCTTCAATGTAATGTCTGACAGGGAACAGCACAACCCAAATTTTATGACATTTTTAAAAGCAGTTCTACATCTGAAATGACAAACCTGCCTTCAAATAAGAATAGCATATCCTTTTCCTTCTAGAATGAGAGTAAACAGGCAACATCAATAAAAAAATAAGAGTTCATACACAAGACTTACATCTGTACTTGTCTTCCAAGTGTGCTTTACACAGAGAAATGATGCCAGTTTTAAAAGACAGGACACGGATCCTCCCTGTTCGTCCCCTATTATGAAGAATAAAACAAACAAACAAACAAAAAACAATTACTGGCACTCGAATAGAGTGTAGAAGCTACTAGTTAAGGGGCAAAAAGGCCTTAGATACAGAAACTGTATAGACCACTGTTTGATTAAGGTTGTTAAGAACTTTACTGAATTCATTGTCTGTTTGCCTCATGACCTAGAATGCAACGGGAAAGTTTTATGACCCAAATTAATGAATATTTACCCATTCTCAACTCTTAAAGGCCCTTACTTGAATTGCCAGAGTAGCTCTACATAAAATAAGGATAAAATACCCTTCCACTCACCTACAGAGAACCACCTTGGTTGAGTAAGAGGAAGAATTACCACTGTGCACTTGGCAGCTCTGGTCACTAGAGCAAATGGTCAATGTTGGTGGTTGAAGCCAAAAACAATTTCTAACAACTAACTCTTCTCTGTTCAGCACTTCCAGAATTCTATCAAATCACTGCTTACTAAGATGAGTCATCACTTCAGGTCACACAACACAAAATATAAAATATGAATATTTATGTCCAATGAAAGCCTAGCATACACTATCAGAAAGCATGCAAATACATGCAAATACATGTTCATATCAAGTATGAACATTCTAATATGGCTATGCTTTGTTGCATTAGGAAATGAAATAAAGCATTCCACACAAAAATGCATCAACACAAAAATTTAACTATGGGTAAAAAGAAAAAATAGCATGAACAGATTTTCATTATGTAGCAAATATTTTTAAACAACTTTTTACCTATTTGTTTGATTTTGGAAAGTAATTGTATCTTGGATTTTGGTATGTTTGTTGGTCACTATGTTCAATTTTCAATTAGTACAATTTATTAGATCTCTTAGTTAAAGAAAAACAATGCTTTAATGAAATTCCTGTCACTGCAAAAAATTATCTGTTTTCCTATTAGGAAAAAGCAAATCAAAGTTTGACAGGTAAACTTTACACAGGAATTTAAGTGTTAAAGGAGTTAAAAGTATCTTCAAATCATTTTCAGGTAGGTTGAATGAACATTCTATATTCAGAATTCATTCACATCTCATCTACAAAGAAAATTATGCCAAAAATATGAGGTAAGACCTGAATATAAACTATGTTCAAAACAAATGTAAACAAATCCACAATTAAAATCTGATATTTTCAAGAACCAAGTAGATATGTATATGCATTCAATAGTCAGATGGTTCTGAAACTTCAGTTAATAGCTTACCAAAATGCCAAAGAAAACAATCTGTATGCATATTAAAAGAAGATGATAAAAACATACAACAGAGGCAGAAGGTAAAGTATTTGATACGTAATACCTTTAAGAAATTCTACCTACATTTCCAAAATGGGAGTATGTGCTTGTTGATATGTGAAATGAGGCATGTAATAATTCTGAGGCCTAAGAGGAATTCAATGAAAAATCGAGACCAACTCCTCTGCTTCCTTCCTCAATTGTGTTCATTAAGACGAAGATGAAAATGAGAACCGGAGCTATGTCCTGTGTACAATCCAGAGGAAATAAATCACTGCTCTCTAACTAACAGAGGTTGATGAATGGAAGTGCCAAAGAGCAGCTCTGTAAAACGTTATTAGAAAAACCAAACAACAACAATCCTGCTTGGTTTCAGGAGCTAAGTTTGCTGTATTTGAGCTTCTTTTTCTTTTGTGTGACTCATCTATTCACAGTCTCCACAATTGTCCTACATATCCACTACAACAATTTGGATCTGATGACAGGTGTGCCAGCCCCTCCAGGAGCAGTGCCATCCCTGCCAGTGAGACAAGCCACTCCAAAATGGATGGAAGAACTCCAAAACACAGGTGAAAAAGGGAAAGAACCACAGCTACATGATAACTAATTCTATTTGAAAAAAAAATGACCTATCTCAGGTTATGGTTGGATTCTGATCTGAGAGCAGTCTGCATTCTAGCTCTTTGTTTTCCCCTCTGAGAGAGTCTCACTATGCAGTTCTGGCTGTCCTGACCCTCACACTGTGTAGACCAGGCTGGCCTCAAACTCAAAAATCTGCCTGCCTCTGCTTCTGGGTTTAAAGGTTGCATTACAGCTCTTATTGCTCCCTTATCAAGTAGGTTTCAAGTCATATGCAGAAATGATTTATCCCAGGGAGAAGACATCCATAGCTTCTGGGACACTACTATAATGTCAATACTGTTGTCACTGTTCAAGCTAGGTCCCCTCTTGCCATACGTACGTATCATAAACATTGAGAAGCCAGTTGAGACACATGTCCACACAGAGAGGGACGTTGACCAAGTTGTTGTGCTCTTGCTCCAGACGATCATAAATAGTAGTCAAACAGTTAATGATCTGAAGGATATCCATGGGCTGGTCATTTTGCTTGAGGTTGTGCTGGTCCAAGGCATCACATGCAGCTGACAGGCTCAAGAGATCCACTGCAAAAACACACAAAAGCACAAATGACCCAAAACATAAAACTTCTTTTCACTCCTTTTCCTTTGAGAATGCTGTTTGAGTTGTTTCCTACCCTTTAGTAAACACCAAACCCAAATTCCACCCTCTTTTAAAGGTATTCCGTTTTCATCCCTCGATTTTTAAGTTGATCTGGTTTTATCAGTAATCACAATCTGAACTTGTTTTCAGACCTCGCTGGCATTGGGTGATCATACAAAGATCTACAGTTCCCTTCCCTGGAATATCAGAGCATAGTTGAGAGTTAAAGGGATCAGTCTTCTGAGTCAATAGCCATTTCTATCTGAGTAGGAAGAAAAGTGTTGCAGTAGAGATTTTGAAAGAGACACTGACGGTCCTTTCTCATATTAGAAATCAATCAGATGAATCTATATGGCTAGGGTTGTGTAAACTCAATTTCTGTTTGGGCATTTACGATCAGTAAGCATTTTTTCCCTGAAAATAGACACCTCAGCTCTCATTGTTGCCTTTACACCAGGTGAAAAAATAACCAACTTCACCAAAATTTTCTGAGGCAAACTTCAGAATCTAGCCAACTTTCAAGACTAATGCTAATTTATTTCTCCTTTCACCTTCAAATTGAATTTTCCAGCATACTTTTTTGAGCCATATAAGAAATTTTAAGGCTAGGGGAGATTCCCTTGGTCTGAGGTAGTATTTAATCAGATGCCAAAAGAAAACATTAGCAAAGGTAAACTTCCATCAGCAAGTTACTAGCTTTATTCCTGAGTGTCATGAAGAGATGCTTTTCTCTAAAGCCAATTTATTAGCCAAACTGGAAATGCAACACTGGTATTTTTTAGCACCAGATACATCTAAGCTATGCTCAGGATTGCCAGTCCTTTGAGACAAAGAATCAATGATAATTAAGTGCCTCTCTCACACACCTAAGGGAAGAGGCACTGCAATTATAAATATAACTTCAAATGGAATACACATAAGCAATTTCGGTCAGTAAACAGATTTTCCAATAATAAAAGAAATACAAACGTAAGGCTATAATTCATTTTACTAGTCACTGGTGTAAGTTCAAATTAAATATTAAAAAATAATGATTAATACCTATGTATCAACATATTGTCTCTCTTGAAAAAGGAAAATAGCATATTCTGTGAAGTTTCCCTAGAAACATGAGGATCTGATGGCAGAGGCATCAGATCAGAGGCATCACTGTCAGGAGGAAAACTCTGTGCTCCCATCCCAAGGACCAGGTTCCCTAAAATATCCTGGACTAACATCCCTCTTACTCAATTACAACTTTATTTTGCTAAGGATGGAACACATCATGGCACACATCTCTACTGCAGCCTCTTTCACTTTAAGATGCAACCATGTTCTGCTTAGTGTCAGAGACATTTTTGGGGAAAACCTCATTAAGTGATTTAATCATTGAGTGAACAACACAGACTATAGCTACACAAATTAAGAGGTTTACTACATTACTAGGCTGCATAATATTATGGGATCACTGCCAGTGATTGCCCCAAACATCCTTATACAATGCTCCACTGTACTCTAACAAAAAAGAAATGATCCTTTTCTTAAATGAAATCTGAGACTGTGTAAACTTCAAAGTAGGGAACTGGCAGACAGCAAGACTTAGTTGAGAGTCAGGTGGGTAAAATGATGAAGAATAAAAAAATGACAATGCAAGCAGGCAGGAAGCTACACGGAAAGGGAGGCTAAATGGGGACTGCATGGGAGGCAGTAGGGTGGTGCAGAGACAGAGTACTAAGATTTTCACCATCTCTTTTGTCTGCCTGACTTCCTGAGAGCACAACTGCTGAAGTGCAGGTCACGGAAACCTTCGGAAATGTAGCAAGGCAGTTTCATTAGTGGAAGACTGAAGTGGATTTCTTCCATATACCAAAATCCCTAATGTATTTCTTTATACATTGAAGAAATGCTATGGATCCTGTGAAGTATTTCTACTATTTTCTTTTTTCTTACTATACACTTTACTTATCATAAATATTTTGCTTTGACTTAAGGATATAAGAAGCGTGAGACTTTTTACAGTCACATTTTATGAAGTCTCTAATGATCCCATGTGATGGTAACAAACCAACAGTGAAACTGCATGAATTTCCTTTTTATTGGACCTACTCTCGACACAGGTGAATAGGTAGGCAATACACACAACAGAAAATTTACAGGATAAATAGCTCCAGAGGGGAGTAAGGCAATTGCTCTGAAATAACAGAAGCAGAAGATGACACAGGAGAGAAATACTGTGTGGTGTTCTCTGCTAAAACCGGGTGTGGTTAAATACAAGACCAATTCATCATGGAATATGGGAGAACATAATTCCCCAAACAAACATAGCAAACAGAATAACAGAATTTTGTTGTCATGGAACAATATTTAAAAGCCTTCTATTTAAGCAGACAGAGACCAGGAAACAGGTGAGGAAAGAGATATGGGCAACTGAAATCCCCCACACACACACACTCAATGTTCCAACCAAACCTATTAAAGAATACATGGAGGTTATTTTTGTCAAACTTTAAACAAAAAAGATGAGCTTTGCTGCAAACCTCAGTAAATACCCAGCAGACACTTTTGTGAAGCTATTCTCCTTCTTGAAGCTAACAATTTCCATCATATGAATATATGCTATAATTTTAAATAAATGGACACATGCACAAATATGTGTGTGTGTGTGTGTGTATCTTGTATCTGTGTGCTTGCATATGTAAGAGCACTTGCTGCTCTTGAAGATGAACTAGGTTCACTACCTAGTACCCACACAGATGGTGACTCACAACAACCATAGTTTCAGGGATCTGATGTCCTCTTCTGATCTCCAAGGGCATCAGGCACACACGTGGTGCACATATATACACACAGGCAAATGTTCACACACATGAAATAAAATAAATATATTGCTAAAATATTTTCTTTTGGGAGCACTGACTGCTCTTCCGGAGGACCCAGGTTCAATTCCTAGCACCCACATGGCAGCTCACAACTGTCTGTACTTCCAGTTCCAGGGGACTGGACACCCATGGCAAAACACTAATGCGCATAAAATACAGATAAACAAACTTAAGAGAAACCAGCAATTAAAAAAATAAACAAAATATTTAAAAAAAAGGTTTTGTTTCAAAAATGCTTTAAAAAGTTTGAGAGATTATTTTGAATTACGTGTGTGTGTGGGGGGTATGTGCATGTGAGTACAGATGGCCAAGGAAACCAAAAGCTAGATCCCATGGATCTGGAGTTACATGTGCTTGTAAGCTACCCAATATGGATGCTGGAACTTGGGTCCTCTACAAGAACAATATGTGCTCTTAACCACTAAGCCATCTTTCTAGTCTCTTCAAAAATACTTTAATGGAAAGAGAAGCTATAGCTTTCTTGTCATTGAAGAATAGTACCACATAGTGGTGTGTTCCTCATGCCTAAAGTGATAGAGAGAGAAGAGAAATGATTCCCTTCCAGGGTCATTTGCCACGCAGAAGAGGATCTGGCTAAGTCTAGTCTTCCCTTCTAGTTCAATCATCAGTTCTATTAATTATATACAGTCATTAGCCAAAGGTGTCACAAACATCACAAACTATCTCTATAACCTAATGGTAAAGCCTGATTGTTGAAGACAGAACTTTCTAATGTCATCAAACATACATGTTGGGAGTGAGAATATTTACAAGATTCAAAACCCATTCTTGACTAAAATATTACTAAGGCATTATTTAGGAAGAAAAATGGAGAAAAAACTGTTGATGCTGGTTGGCAAGCTACCCTAAGCTTGTAGTAAATAGCACAGACTTTGCATTTAATTATGGATGAAAATGCAACTTTCCAGTAGAGAATGGAATAAGAACTCAAACTGAAGAAGTTAACAAAATGGATTAGAATGGATCTGTGCTGATATCAGAGCTGATGAAAACTGTAATTCCTTAGCTGGTTTAGCAAAAGCTAAAAGGAGACCAGAACCTCCTTCCATTGAGTTTCACTTTCTCTGACTGGAGAGTGGAGTTAAAAACAAAGGAATGTGAGCAACTATTCCCTGTGAGAATGGGCTACACCTGTGGGACCAAATTACAATTAAAAAGATAATTCAAGGAAGGGACTTACAGGTACTTGTTCCCTCCATCACTGTTTCCTTTATTGATGGATGCCAGACTTAGTAGTTCCTGACCTGATCTATAATATAGAGTCTAGATCACTGACAATATTGCCATGGTGGTTACTTTTTGCCAATTTAATACAAGCTCTGGCCATCTGGGAAGAGGGAACCTCAACTGAGAAAATGCTTCCATCAAATTAGCCTGTGGGCAACCCTGTGGTGAATTTTCTTGATTAATGATTGACATGACAGGACCTAGCCCACTGTGGGCATTGCCATTCCTGGGCAAGTGGTTCTGTGTTGTATAACAAAAAAAATGCAATTTGGGCAAGGCACTGAAAGCAAGACAGTAAATAGCATTCATACCTTGCTAAGTAGGACATAGGCTCTGGGACAGAACTTACTACAATTATGGTGTCAAACTAACATATTATTAAACTAAACCCTAATGACTTATTGTTCTACCCACAGATCAACGCATCTCTCATCCTTCATCTGAAAGGCTTCTGTAGATGGTGATTAACATAGAGACCCACAAATGGCTAAAGTGCAGATAATAAGAGACTACACATTGCTTACTCCTAAAGGATATGTATGTATGTATGTATGTATGTATGTATGTATGTATGTATGTAAAGAAAAACAAAGCAAGGAATCACACAACACACAATGTTGCATGGGTCAAAAAAAGAATGAGTACACCTGGGAAGATATGAGGAAGGGGAGGAAATATTTTCAAAACATGTAGAAAACCTGAAACTCTGAAAGAAAAAAATTTAAAGAGACTTATAAAAATTGGGATCTGGACTAGGAATACTTGACCAGCTACAGTTTACCCTTTAAAAGTAAAGTGATGATGAAAACGATGTTCGAGTCCTAGTGTAAGAACAA